CCATTATGTAGCACGCTGTAATGTGATGTAATTTCCTCATTATCTTCAGCTGGGATGTTCCCGTGACAACGCAGCACGGTGTCCGTCAGCAGATGTAGCTGTTTTACTGTCATAAATGCCTTTTTATTGTTGTTAGCATAACTGTTGCAAATAAACATACATTTTATATTTTAAAAAGTTTTTAAAATATGCTATATAATATATAAAAACTAACATATATATAAAACTTTGTAAAATATTAAATGTATATTTTTTTATGCCGGCGTCCATCAGCGATGGACGGGTTCGTTAGTGCGTTGTCACGGGAACATCCCAGCTGAAGATAATGAGGAAATTACATCTCTCCCTTTGCCAAGTGCATTCCAAACGACTACATAATGGCAAGCACGTGCCCTGCTCACTCCAAAATCCCCCACTCCAAGGGGATAGGAATGATCACTTCCATTTGGAATTTGCCCCGTGAACCGTTTGGTACCGATACTCGTATCGGCACATCCCTAATGTGAGGTCATTTGGAGATAGTTAGACCAGCTTTCTCTGTATGCAAACATCACTCTCCCTTGTGTATTCACACAAGAAAGGTATTCACGATAAACCACAGAGGCAGAGAACAGAGCTTGCATAACCTTACATAGCAACAGGGAGCTTTTCACCGGTACCGTTGAACTGCTCACACATATTCATCCTACAGAGGATACACAGCCTTGAAACACTGGAGCCTTTAAATCAAATCTAATACTATTCCCATATCAGGTCATGCCTCTGTACTGCTTTTCCACCTCTACCACAGAAAGCAATTACTCTTTGTCAACTATCTAATCTACTGTTATGATGTTGGTGGAGAATCGAATGAATTCGGCTCTCAAGACCCAAAGGTAAACAGCACACTTCCCTTTTGCACCGGCACGGAGTGTTCTCATGCCTATTTAGGCTTAGTTGATACAATGATGGATGGATGGCTATAGAGACGACTAGATGGAGAGTGAGAAAAACAAATAATGAGTGAAATTTGACAAATGTGCACATATTCTTTTCAGCACTATGTTCAAACAAAGACATTTATGGTAAAGCAACACCTCCGGGCAGCTATTCTTCAGGTAATATATTTGAATTCAGCAATCAAATCTGATAACAATGGTATCATAAATTGATTCATGAAATCAGTGATAATAGGTCTCCTATTAGTTTTCTACAAGTGGTCCATCTCCACCCTTTTATAATGTCTCTGATTTAGACTACATTTATCCACCCCTGTGCATAATGCTGCACCTGCCTGCAATTTCAGCATGTTTTGCATGCTTTGCTCTGCTGGGAAATGCGCCTGTTAAGTCATGGCAAAAAATAAGATTTAATAAGTGAGACAACAAAACTGTTTATCTAAATAATTCCAAAATGACATGGGAAATCTGCAGATAAACACACAGAACCTAAAAGATTGGATTCATGTGAGCTACTATGAAAACATGCAAGTTGTTGTACCTTAAAATGACCCTTCAGTGGTGTAGCCTAATGTACTCACCTCAAATTAAACAATGTTTTACTGTTCAAAAGCTTGAAATCAATATTTATTTAAAGAAATCGTTACTCGACGTATAGAATGATGGATTAAATCGATCAAAATCACAGTTACGTTGTTACAAAAACATTCTATTTCAAATAAATGTTGTTCTTTAGATCTTGCTTTTCATAAAACTATCCTGAAAAAAAAAAAGCATCAGAGTTTCCACAAAAATATTTGGCAGCACAACACACAACTGTTTTCAACACTGATAATAATAAGAAATGAAGACAATTAAATTGAAAAATTCAGCTTTGCCTTTCTTTATAAAAATAGAAAAAGAGAAAAAAAAATATTTTAAATAGCACGTTTTGGTAAAGAAAGGTTACACTTTATATTAAGTAAACAATTCCTATGGATTTACCATGTTATTACTCTGATGTTACACAGCAGCGGCCAGTATGTTAGGCTTTACATATAAATGGTGGTTGGTGTCCAGAATGTTACACTTTATATTAAGTGGACAGTTCCTGAGGAGATACCATGTAAGTACACTGGTATTACAGTGGTGCACCAACTTTAGATCCAACTCTTTACATATCCCTAAACCTACCCATTTCCACCCCCTGGATCCCTTACATAAATATTACAGCTCTAGATACTATGTACCAATGTGTACTTACACTGTGGTTACATACTACGTACACATCTAGTTACTATGTAAGTACACAGGTATTAGGGCCACTTAATATAAAGTGGGACCATAATTGTAATAATATTTCATATTGTTACTGTTTTTTAAATCAAATAAATGCAGTCTTGTTGAGCATAAGAGACTTCATTCAAAAAATAACTAAAATATATTATTATAATATTTAATAATTTAATATAAAAAAAAGGTATAATTTATTTCATATTTTTTTATTATGGGAATAAAAATAAATACAATTAAAACATTTAATTGTGCCATGTTGCTAGATGAAACACATTCAGGTTACTTTTTTTTTTTTCATTGTAATGATGTAATATTTTCATACTGTAAACAATCCCCATCAAATAGATTGAGCTAATATTTGGATTGTAAGCTTGCATTGAGGTACGATCTCTGATATAATGGAATAGGACAAGAACAGTGCGCAACAAGACAATAAATAAGGGATGCATCTTCATCTCATAAACAATCTATAACAACATCTTGTTAACAGTATTGAGGGAGTAGAGCCAATAAGCTCTGAACGCTCTGCTCACATGGGAGATGGTACTGTATGCATGAATGCTCAAAAGGAGGTCAATCAATCGGTTTGACTCTGCACAATTCACTTTGCATCTGCTTGATCAGTGCAGACATAAAGAATATTCCATAACCACAGGGCACATGAGCCATACTACCAAAACAGAATGAATCTGTAAAAGCACTGGTAACTACTGTATAACTACTCAGAGTGGCTGCAAGGGACATCATTGTTTCTTGCAATGCAGCTTTAGATCAGATGCAATAGATCAATTGGTGACATTGCATTTCACATAACCAGAGAGAACGACACATTGTGCGTTCATCACAGTGAATTTGTGCTCAGCTAACTGTGAGTTGAGTCAGACTGCTACATCTTGGTACTGAATGACTCCTCTGTTCAGGCCCAATGATTTCCAACCAGTCTTATTGCAGTGCTTTCAAATGTATGGATAGTTTGACAGTGTAAAAAAATTGAATATATGAAATCATAATATATTCATGAAAAAATGCATCAGTGAGAATATTGGAAACACTCTCATGCATCAAAATCTAGCTTGACTACAAATCAGAAATTACATTCCAGCCGAAAAAGTAATGTTTAGTGAATATCAAAACTAAAAAAAAAAAAAGATGCAAACTGGATCTTGTTTGCTTTAGAGCAGGGCTGCCCAAACTCGGTCCTGGAGGGCCAGTGTCCTAAAGAGTTTAGCTCCAACCCCAATTAAACACACCTGAACCAGCTAATCAAGCTCTTACTAGGCATACTAGAAACTTAAAGGCAGGTGTGTTGAGGCAAGCTGGAGCTAAACTCTGCACGACACCGGCCCTCCAGGACCGAGTTTGGGCAGCCCTGCTTTAGAGCATAAGACGAGCTGCATCACATTGAGGTGTTTAGCCAAAGCTGATCAAGTCATATATATTCAGTTCATGCCAACATGACACCACAATGCTGCATCCTCACCCTCCTCCCGTGTCCGCCCGCGCCGCATTACTTCTGGCTGTTACCCCAGCGTGGAGTAATGTCAGTACACAAGGACAGTTTTCTCTCATTCATGGGCCTGACAGCACTACCAGCTAATGCACATCCCATCCACTGCTACTGGACTCTACTTTTCTCAAATTGCACTGTATATATGAATAGTGATGTACTTTGCACATTCTGTGACAGAGGAAAGACTGGGGCTAGTTGTCATGTGGGGATGTTATGGTAACTTAGTAACTCCACAAATATGTTTTCTCTAGCAGTGGATATTAAAACCTTCTTGCATTAGAATAATTGTACAATCGCAGTATTATCATATTTGTATTATTTCAAATAGTTTCTAAATGGTATATAGTTATATTGGTAACACATTACAATAAGGTTCCATTAGTTAATAAATTAACTGACATGCACAAACAATGAACAATACATTTATTACAGTATTTATGAATCTTTGTTAATGCTAGTTAATGAAAATGCAGTCGTTCATTGTTAGTTCATGTTAATTCACAATGCATTAATTAATGTTAACAAGCACAACTTTTGATTTTAATAATGCATTAGTAAATGTTGAAATTAACATTAACTAAGATTAATAAATGCTGTAGAAGTATTGTTCATGCTTAGTCCATGTTAACTAAAGTAGTTAACTAATCTTAACTAATGAACCTTATTATTGTAAAGTGTTACCATTATATTTGTGTGTATATACACTGCCATCAAAAAATTGTGTTTGTATGCTTTCTATGTTGAACAAGGCTTGTAAAAACAGCAAAAGTGTGACATATTTTTGCAGTTTTAAATAACTTTTCTTTTTAAATATGTTTTCAAATTTAATTTCTGTGAGGCCAGCAGTCATTACTCCAGTCTCCAGTGTCACGATCCTTCAGAAAATTATTATAATATGCTGATTTGGTGTGCAAGAAATATTACTTATTGTTATCAATGTTAAAAACAGATGTGCTGCATAATATTTTTGTGGAAACTGATACATTTTTGTTCAGGATTCATTTGAAATAGATATATTTCATTACATTATAATTTTAATTTAAATGTTTTATTTGTAATTCTCTGTAAATGTTTATCGCTTCATCGTTTCCCCCCAGGGGAATAAAGGTGGAAATGTTCAGTGGCTTTGTTTTAGCCAAGACTTTGGTGTCTATATAGAAAATGTCCATAAAATAAATCTACTCTGAGAAATATTAACTAAAGATAAATGTATGACTACTAGCCTCAATCTCCCCCAATGCCTTCCTGGGATCAATCATGTGTATCTACCTGACTATTTATCCATGGATCCGTAATCCCACAGAGCCCTTACCTTCAGTCTGGCCTTTGTTGATGCTCCAGTAACTCTGCAGACACTGCATTTCTTTCTTCATTCCCCTCTTGCAGCGGCAGTCGAACAGAGCCATCTCCTTCAACACTTCCTGGGCTACCTGGCAATCCTTATTGGTCAACATGGTGTTCCTGTCCTTGCCTGCCAGACACTGCCTCATGATCCTGAAGCGATGGCTGCACTTTTGGTCCTGGTTACAATTCTCGGTGGCTCTTAAACAGTCCATTGAGTCTTGGTGCCCAGACTCAGAGAGAGAGGAAGAGCCCGACATGGAGAACACAAGCTCATCTATGAAGGAGGGTGGAGAGGAATGGAGGTTCAGATTATTTATTCATTCATTCATTCATATGGGTTGAGAAATGCCCTGCTAAAACTACTCTTTAATAGGATAACAGGATAAAAGTTTAACAAGTCTTTATCTATGACAAATGAATCTATAAAGACATCAGTGACTGCATCCGCTCATTTTGTCATTATAAAATATTATTTTAGTCAATGACTAATCCAGCCAAAGACTGCAATTTAAAGACCATCAAGCCAGTGGCAATGACCAGATGATTGTGAAACCATTTTAATGACTCACAAGGATCACTTGACAGCTCAGAATGGTGTGTCAAAGTATGAAAAACATGCCTCGAAGAGTAAAATATATACATCGCACAAAAGACTTCTAATTAGCATGACATGAGTCACCAATAAATAACAGTCTTTTTTTAGTATGTGTTAAAAATGGATTTAATTAGCTGCTGGCAAATGCTCTTTATACTTTCCTCATATCAATGCTTTAATATTGCGTTTTCACAATTATTAGCCTTTACACTTCTTTCTGTGTGTTTGAGAGCAACAGAGATGTTTTTTTTTTTTTTTACATGCATGCAAATGTATTTTTTTTTCATAGGGTCATTATAACGGAGGTGCAACCCACCAGTGACACCTACAGGTGTAAACACATCAGCATACTTAATAATCTCATTTTTTTTCTTTTTTTTTTCTTCTTAAAACTGTTCAGAACACATCAGTGAGCAGAGCCAGAATGAAAGATGCAGACACACCCTTGGACAATCACTGATGAATCCTTTGCATTGTTTTTAGAAATAAAAAAAACATGAGAAATGCTGCAAGATGCTCTACGAATGCAAATGTGTGAAAAGAAGAAAATCTGTAAAGTAGTTGGGTAACACTTTACATTACATGTTATAATAGATATTAATATTACTTACTGTATAAGGCAGTTCCACATCAGTACCTATATAATTACACTGCAACATTAATTTAAAGCGTAACTGGCTGTTGAATATCTATATCAAAATGTCTGAATGGTTAATATGTTCTGCAGACTGTTTAAATATTCAGCTTAAGTTTCATCATGGTGCGCAGAAAGGATCAAGTCTTGTCAGTGTGCAATGGATAGTGATAAATCTACAAAGTGACCTTGATAAATCTCACCTTTATTGCAAAATTTTTTTATACTGTAATTCATTTTCTATACACCGACTCTAAATGAGTGGGATTTGAACTACATGGTACTAATTAATTAGACAACAATTAGACGTCATGTAAAACTGTAAGATAATGTGATCAGTTACATTCATTCAAAAGGAATGAAACGCAGCCCATGTAACTTACATTACATAATTACCATAGATTTAAACATGCGAGTACTATGAAGTGACAAGTTCATGTCTTTAAATCCCACAGAAATGTAATGAATGAATATCGTATGTTTTTTCTGTTCCTTATCGAACTTGACCTCACCTTAATTTCACATAACTTCATACACTATCATGGTATTAAACCATGTAGTAGAGGAAAGTAAATTGAAATAAAATTAGCCTAAAGATGAAATGAAATGAAATAGCATGAGGAGATTTTGCTTTCACTTCGACTAAAGAAAAAAGGTAAAATGCTGTAAAACTAAACACAAACTTACCTAAAAAGAGCAGAAAGCCGTAGATATAGATATACATGTTTCTGTTTCTGATAGAGAGTCCGCGTGCGTAAAAGGGTGCCGTTCGTGCTGTCATATGTTCCCTCCAAATGACTGTATTCCGCTTAGTCCTCCTAAAATACCGATGCTGCTCTAAACGCTCTGTGACCTTAAAAATCCCAAATTGTATCCAGCGTTTGTCGGACCATGATTATTTTTCCCGTCTAAATAATCCAAAGCCTCATATAAAGAGGGAAAAGCTCTCTATTCCCTTCAGCAGGGTAACTAAACCCCAGGTTTCCGTAGGAACCGTTTATTCGTGGCGGTTTCGTGTGGACAGGCGCATATTTCCAATTGCTGGTGTTCTACTATCGCAAAGGACGCAAAATTGAAACGTCTGCCTTACTAAAGCAACGCTCCTCTATAGGATATTCCCGCTCCCGTTTATCTCCGAAATGAAATTCCCAAGCAAAGGCAGTGAGAAACTTCAGATGGCGGAGCTCTGCTGACAGACTTCTGGCTCTGGCGGAGGCAGTGCGCTCCCGAGAAGCGAGGCATAAGCGAGCGCACGTGCCCCCGTTACGCGCTCCAGCCCACATGTTAAATGATCCGGCGACGGGTGAGTTAATCAAAGCGCGCACAAACAGGGGGTCAAGCTGACTCAACACACCATGGCTAATTAATAAGTTTTAGGGCAAAGGATAAATGCAACGTTTGACAAGAGGTCAGTTATTGCTCTTGCAACTATACAAATGGAAGGATACCCATCTTGCTTTATGGTCTCTCTGCCTGGCTAGGCTGATCTGTGGCTGGTTTTAAAGGGGTTTGGGGCATTTTTCAACTTCTCAAGCTGGAAGATGTACCATTAAGATAAATTATTTAGGAATATTTACTTATGTCATGGGTACTTTGAAGACTCACAGGAGAGATGTCGTATCATCATCATCACCACCCAAGTTAATTCACGTAATCATCTGATATAATTAACTACACAGTCTGTGAAAACATCATAATTGGGCTATTTGCAAGTCTGATGTAAATATTCTAAGACATGAACCTGACATCATTTAAAATGTGCCTGCATTTCTAGAAACAGGTGGCTGAAATAATGGTGTTTATTGGCTCTGGCAATTTGCTGGAGTAATGCTAATATGGATTTCACAAGACAATGAACCCTGGCCAAAGACAAGAGCATAGTTTGGTTGTACTAAGGAGTCTTGCTGGTTAACATGGCCCTGTTAGGCCCTGTTGGTAGATGCTCTACTACTGCATACATTCTTAATAAATAAAGGTTCTTTATTGGAATCTGTGATTCCATGAAGAACTTTTAACATCCATTGAACTTTTTCGTTGCACAAAAGTGCTTTATAGTGAGAAAAAATGTTCTTCAAACTAAAAAAAAATGGTTCTTTTAAGAACTGCTCACTAAAAGATTAACCGGGGAACCAAAAATGGTTTTTCGTCCTTTCAAATCCCCCTTTTTGGAAACGTTATAAATAAAGACATAAAACTAATACATAATTACACATAAAACTAATACATAAAGACATTTAACTCTTTCTTTCTTTTATTTATTTCTTTATTTCTTTATTTATTATATTTATATTTATTTATTTTTTGGAGGGCTCTTTAATAATCTAAAATGGACTTTTATTTGGAAAATTATTGGTGCCATCAACCAATCACAATTGTCATGCCAGCACTATCCTGCATCTTTAGATTAATTTGTCAAGCATCACTTAAGGTTCAGGTGATGGGCCAAAAAAAAAAAAAAAAAAAATTCTGGCAGAAATGAGCACCTAGGAGAAAATATGCCATATTTCAAACTGCATACAGTATGTCTGGAGGGCCATGGGAGTGTTAATGGATGACTTTCAATACTGACCTCCTTGAGTTCTAAGTCACTTATAGGGTTATAAGAGCTTTTAACATTTCTACGGATTCTTTCTATGACATTTAAGGCTGGTAAACAAAGATGAAACAGGTGAGAGTAGAGGAGAAACGTGAGTTAGTTTTAGTCTAAAATTCCAAATAAGTGACACCATTATCCAATTTAATTGGATCAAATGTCCAACAATACAGTGCAAAACTTTATACATTTATTATACCGTATGTATAATCCGTATGAACAATAGTAATGAAACCCATGCTTAAGATAATGTAAAGTTCACCCAATTGGCCCAACGACGGAATCCAACGGTGTGGGCGAAGGTATAATGCATGTGGATCTTTTACTTTTTTACTTAATTTATCAGGATTTAGTTTCAATTTTAGTCTAGCTCTGTGTTTAATCCGACTTCAATTTTCAAGTGATCATTAAATGTACACTGTATTTCTAATTGAAAACTGATCACAAATACCGATTATGTATTAATTTAGATATTTTCTTATTCTGGACATCCCATACTTTCAATTATTTGTTCATTAGGGACCCACTATTTCTTAGAGCCTCGTGTGGCCAGCACAGGACTCATGATTACAAACTCGCCAGTTCTGAGTTTAATCAGAGGATGCAGAGTGATCTAATACCTTTAAGTCGGCTGCCACATGCTCACTCATACAAAAAGTAAGTCAGTGATAGACAGAAATCAGAAGGTCTCACAGGATGGGGCTTTACTGGTTACAGAATCCCAAATTAATGTCTTGCCACTTTCCTTTTATATCCAGACCAGAACAACGAAATCTTCAAATCAGTTGTAAAAACATAAAAGACCTTTTTATTTTGTCAGGATCCCGTGACCCAAGGGTCACACCTGGCCGGAGAAGGGAAATCATTCTCACCAGACCATGAGAAGAACACACCCTCAGCAGCAGAACAGAATTCTTCAGAAATAAATTTTCAGTCTATCTCGTAACATGAATGACTGCTGTGAAATTGAGACCATTTTACCAGTGGTGGGCCGTCAGGGCCAGCAAGGCCTTCTCTGCTGGCCTAAACACTGACTTTTAACATCAGAATCACTGACTTTTAATTTATACTGACTGTTTATATATTTTTTCCTTGAATGTGTATTATTCCCAATAGTCTATTCCCTTTGTTTAATAGCTTTTCTCTTGGTTGCGCTGCTTCCAGCGTAGTGTATGTTTAAATTAGAGCGTAGCTTAAAATAAATGGCAATGAACCCGTTGCTTTAATCAATCAGATTTAGAGTTTGCAACACCGGGGCCATCCAGCAGGCATACAATAACGGCGGCATTTTCACGTAATTTAATTGGATAGTCAGAGAGCATACTAGTAGTCAGAACTAGCAAACAGCACACTGTAAATCATTTTTGTTGTTTTCACAGTATTAGTCAAAGTCAAAGTCAAAGTCTGCTTTATTGTCAATTCTTCCACATGTACAGCACATACATACAGAGAATTGAATAATTCATCATGAAGATGAAAGCCCAGTAGAGTATGGTAGGTTAAAGGGTTAGTTCTCCCAAAAATTAAAATTAGCCTGTGTTTTACTCACCCTCGAAGCCAACACCGGGGCCATCCAGCAGGCATACAATAACGGCGGCATTTTCACGTAATTTAATTGGATAGTCAGAGAGCATACTAGTAGTCAGAACTAGCAAACAGCACACTGTAAATCATTTTTGTTGTTTTCACAGTATTAGTCAAAGTCAAAGTCAAAGTCTGCTTTATTGTCAATTCTTCCACATGTACAGCACATACATACAGAGAACTGAATAATTCATCATGAAGATGAAAGCCCAGTAGAGTATGGTAGGTTAAAGGGTTAGTTCTCCCAAAAATAAAAATTAGCCTGTGTTTTACTCACCCTCGAAGCATCGTAGGTGTATGTGACTTTCTTCTTTCAGATGAATCCAATCGGAGTTATAGTAAAAATTGTCCTGGCCCCTCCAAGCCTTACAATGGGGGTAAGCGAGTGTTCGGTTGTCA